TTTAGACAGAGTCTCAAATTGTCACCCTTGGTAGAGTGCCGTGGCATCACAGCTCACAGCAACCTCTAATGCTTGGGCTTAAGCAATTCTCTTACCTCAGTCTCCTGAGTAGCTGGGACCACAGGCACCTGCCACAATGCCTGGTTATTTTTTGTTGCAATTCACATCGCTGTTTTAGCTGGTTGGGGCCAGGTTCGAACCTGCCACCCTCGGTATATGGGGCAGGCGCCCTGCCCACTGAGCCATAGGCACCATCCCAAAGAGGAAGTCTTAAGGGACATCAAAAAATATTTTGAAATAAATGAAAATGAAGATATATTAATCTACATTTTGGGAAATGTAGCTAAAGCTTGGAGGGAAATTTTTATCATTAAATGCAGGTATTAGAAAGAGGAAAGGTCTCAAATCAATGATCCAAAGTTTCACCTTAAGAGACTAGAAAAAGAGAAAACAAGCCAAAATCACACAGATGAAAAGAAACAATAAAGATAAAAGACAGAAATCAGTGAAACTGTACAGAGAAAAATCAGTAAATCCAAAAGCTAGTTCTTTAAAAAAAGATCAATGAAACAGATAAACCCACAGCAAGAAGAACAAAAAAAGCAGAGACACAAATTGTCAACGTGAGGAGTGGGGGCATCACATCAGGCCCTGCAAACAACACAAGGTCAACAAGAGACCTCCATGAAAAACCGCACAAAAATTCAACAACATAGATTAAATGGACCAATTTGTAAAAATGCATATTTACCCACACTCACCCAAGATGAAATAAATGACCAAAGTAGTCTTATAACCACTAAAGAAATTGAAATGATAGTTAAAATCCTTCAAAAAAAGACACCTGTAGGCCCAGGTTATTTCACTGGTAAATACTATCAAACATTTAAAGAAATAACACCAATTATGCATAATCTCTTCCAGAAAAAATAGAAAAGGAACACTTCCCAACTCATTTTGTGATGCCAGCTTTCCGCTACTCAAACCATACAAAGAAAAGACAACAAGAAAACACAGACCAAAATCTCTCATAAAAATAGATGCAAAAATACTCGTGAAATGTTAGCACATCAAATCCAGTACTATATAAACAGAGTGACACGTATGTCCAAGTGGGGTTTGTCCTAGGACTGTAAGGCTGGTTTAATATTACAAAATCAATTAATGTAATCCACCATATTAACAGCCTAATAAAGAAAACTCAACTGATGTAGAGAAAGCATTTGAAAATACTCAAATTCCATTCATGATAAAAACCTTCAGATCATAAATAGAACATCAAACTTTTTTTTTTTTGCAGTTTTTGGCTGGGGCCAGTTTGAACCTGCCACCTCTGGTATATGGGGCTGGTGCCCTATTCCTTTGAGCCACAGGCACCGCCTCAAACTTTTTTTTTAAGACAGAGTTTCATTTTGTCACCCTCGGTAGAGTCCCATGGTGTCACAGCTCACAGCAACCTCCAACTTTTTGGCTCAAGTGATTCTCTCGCCTCAGCCTCCCGAGTAGCTCAGACTACAGGTGCCCGCCACAACGCCTGGCTATTTTTAGACATGGGGTCTCACTCTGGCTCAGGATGGTCTCAAACCTGTAAGCTCAGGCAATCCACCCAACTCAGCCTCTCAGAGTGCTAGGATTACAGGTGTGAGCCACTGCGCCCGGCCTACTAACATCAAACTTGATGAAAGATGGAATACAAGATCAGAAACAAGAGAAGAGTGTACACTCTCACTGCTCCTATCCAACACTGTGCTAAACACCCTAGTTGGGGCAATAAGGCAAGAAAAACAAATGAAAGGAAGAGATAAAACTGTCTCATTTGCAGAGCACATGACTATATATGTAAAATTCCCGAGGAATTTACAAAAAACAAAAACTAGTAAGTGAACTTAGTGAGGTTACTAAAGGCTATGAGGCCAACACACACACAATTGTGTTTCTACCTATTAGTGATGTACAACAAGAAACTAATGCCACCCCCTATAACAGTTGAAAAAGAAGAAAAGGAAAAAGAGGAACAGGAGGAAAGAAAAGCAGAAATGTTTAGATATGAACCTGACAGAACCTGCACAGCATCTATGCCCAAAACGACACAGAAAAAACAGATCCAGATACACGGAGCACGCGCCCTGTACACAGGTCGGAAGACAACACAGTAACTGTGATTGTCAGTTCTCTCCTGACTGATCTGCAGATTTAATGCAATTCCAAATAAAATCCTAAAAGGACTTTTTGCAGGTACAGAGAAGCTAATTCTAAAATTGTTATGTGTAGCCCCAACAACTTTGAAAACAAAGAATAAAGATGGTGGAATCACTCTGAAAACTCCAGAGAGCACCAAGTGCTGGGAGGAGCAGAGCTCCTGGGACTCTCAAGTGCTGCTGGTGGAAAGTGGGTCCACAGGACAGCACGGCAGGGGCGGTGCAGCAGTCTCTCCTACACATACATGTGCACTCGCCACAGCACCCAGCAGCCCCACTCCCAGGTATGACCACAGAAAAACATTAACTTAGTTTCAAATGAAATCCTAAAAATTAATGTTTATAAAAGTCATGTTCAAAATGGCTCAAATCTGGAAACAACCTGAATGTCTTCCAGTGAGGGCCTGGATCCACACCCACACCACGGGACACTCCTTGGTAATATGAGGACAAACTTCTCGGACACATAACCACTGTGGGTGAAGCTCAAAGGCGTCATCTTGAGTGGAAGCTGTCTCAAGACTTGCCAACCACAGGGTTCCATCTGTATGACGTTCTTAAATAGAACTCAAATGGAGAACAGATCAGTAGCTGCAAAGGTCTGGGATACTCCAGGACATCCGACAACAGGAGGCACAAGGGAATGTTTGGGGTGATCTGATCCTGACTGAGTGGGTTACGTGAATCAACAGATGTGTGGAAATTCATAAGATCGCACACCAAAACCAGTCGGTTTTGCTGTGTGCCCCTTCTCAGTGCAGTGATGCCTCTCTGCTCTACGTTCACCCTCCATGCTCTTCACAGCCTGATGGCCATTCTGACCTAACCTGGGGCTGGCTGCCATAGCAGGACCAAGGGGTCCATTCCACCCATTGAGAAGATGACCCTGCCTATGGCGAGGGGCGCTTCCAGAAGGGCCAGAGTGTATGGCTCCTGGGTCTTTTCACGCCTTCTCAGATAATATGACCAAGTGGTGTCTAGCATGGATGCTGGCTTTACAGAAAATAATTTCCTTTTAAATCAAAAGTCCATTTCCCAGTAATCTCTAAACTTTTATCTGAGTTCATTTATGATCAGATTTCTAGCTATTGAGACCCTCACTGAGACAAGACGTCTTTCTCCTTCTCCGCTCTCATCAACTTCATAACATATAACTAGGCGAACTCCTACCAGTCTCTGCAAAAGTGGGTCGCAGGGGTTTCGAGGCTCTATGAATCTGCCAAACACCTACTTGGGCATCAGTGGTCAGTGTCTACTGAGAATGGACACTCAGCCGTGTCTGTCCATAGGAACCCTCTGGCTCTACCTTGGGCTTCTTCTTAGCCAGGGCCACAGTTGCCTGCATCAAAGCTTCCCCAGCAGAGTAGCTAGGAGGGGCCACGGGGGAGGATCCCTTTGTCTCCACTGTCCTGTGAGCAGATGGAGAACACATGGACAGCAAGGCCAGGATATGAGTGAGCTGCCTCGGTAACACCAGCCAGCATCTCCCTCACCCAGGAGGGGTGCCTGCCTGCTGAGTGGTCAGCCTCCATGGGAGGGGCAGCATGTGCCACTGCAGTGGGCAGGGCTCCAGCCTCAAGGCTCATGGCCACTCACCCCGCCCACTGAGGAAAGAGCCACCTACCTTGGTCTCCCTCTCGTTTCCCTCAGCGTGGATGATGTAGGAGCAGCTGTCCTTCTGAGGGTTTTCTGAGACAATACGCACCTCCACCCCTGGCAGTGGGGTCCCCACAGAACCTACAAGAGAAAAAAGGGGGCAGAGTAGAGGGATTTGGAGCACCCTAGCTGGGCTCCTGTGTGTTCACACACCATGAGGAATCAGGTTCTGAGGGGAGTGAGGCCTCCATGACCATGAGAAGACATGTCCCTGGAACTGTTAAGTGTGGAACCCCAGGCCGTAAGTGTATGGTCAGCGAGAGGTGCACTGAGGCGTGGCAATACCACGGTGATGGCGGCACCACGTGGTCACGGCTCACTGTGTACAGCAGGTTCTGCACGCTTTGCAGGTCACCTGCCTAGTGACCTCTGGAGACCTCACAACTGTTACTGCACGTGCCTGGCCAGGAGTGCCCACACCTCACCTGGATGACCTGGGATGGCTGTAAGAAGGGACAGAGCAGGCAGAGCACTCGCCACATGGCCCAGGGATGGGCTGTCACTAGCGCTGGGTCCCTACTGTGCCTCATGATTTGCTCAGTGTACCCATCTAAATGGGCCGTCCAACATGGCTAAAGTCAGACGTTATGCCGGCAGGGGGGCGGCTCTGTGACCTCAGAAGCATAGTCCCTGCCCTGCCTGGAACATGGGAGGGCTGTAGCAGCCTCACCAGGCCATAGGTTTGGGCCCTCGTGGGACAGCAGAGGCCTCTTTCAGAGTCACCCGGTTGTGTGACACCAGGTGCTGTGGGGCTCCTGGCCCTCCCCAGGCAGAGCAGGCACCCATGTGGAGGGCACTTTCCATCCTGCCCTTGACACCTGCTCAGAGGAGACAGGTCACAGTGGCAGTGGAGCACCCAGGGTGGGCGGGCCACAGATGCAGGAACTGCCTACCTGGCAGGCGAGCTGTGGCCAGGGGTGCAGACAGGGCCATGCCGATCTCGGTCATGCCATAGCGCTCCAGCAGCGTGTGGCCCGTGGCATCCCTCCATCTCTCCAGCACAGGCAATGGCAGGGCAGCTGAGCCTGAAACCATCAACCTACGGGGCACAACCATGGGTGGCCTCAGCTTCTGAGAGGGCAGGGCCCCAATGCAGAGATGGACCAGGAAGCACTGCCCACTGGACATCATCATTTTTTAAGTTCTTGATAAAAACTATAGTCTGGGCTAAAACTTAACCTTGTTTCTTGAAAATAATTTGTAGGGTATATTTTAGTCAATAGGTCTTCAAAAGGAATGAATGGTTAATCCAGGCAAAAAACAAATTTCAGACAGATGGAGACAGATGCAGAGGCAGAGACATGGGACACAGACACACAGATCAACAGAGGGTACGGATTCATCATCTAGAGGAACTGAAAAATAGTGCTTCCTAAATCTGATTTATTAGAAATAACTTGTACATGCTGGGTTTTAAGACATTCTAAACGCTTGGTGCCTGTGGCTCAAGTGGCT